GTGTGCCTCCTCCTCGTCCTCGTCCTCGTCCTCCCCCCCCCTTCGTCATCGTTATTGGGCGTTCATTCAATTCTAACTCCCCCCCCCCCTCCCTGTTGTTGGCTCACCAGGGGCGCGTTCTCGACAGTGCGACTGGGCGAAAACCGGGAAACACAGGAGCAGGTACGCCGCCGCATCATGCCTACCACCCTCTTCACGCGTGGGCTGCTGGCTGACTACGGGATGGTGATGATGGCCGGTGGTGGCCGGTGGTGGCCGGTGGGTTGGAATTGTCGACGACGACGGCCCGCGCGAGGCAGGTGGCGATCAAGATAATCGAGAAGAAGAGCGTGGTCACGGACAACGCCAAGAAGAACCTCGACCGCGAAATCCAAATTCTCACCCGCGTCGACCACCCCAGTTGCGCCCCCCCCCGCCCACCCACCTCTCTTCCACCACCTCCCCATCTCCCTCCCCCGCGCGCGCGCCTCCACACCACTCACCACGGTCGTGTCGTGTCGTGCCGTTGGTCGTGTGTCGCCTTTGGTGTCGATGGGGCACGCGCAGACATTGTGACGCTGAAGGACATGTACGACACGGGCGACCGCTTCCTTTTCGTCATGGAGCTCGTCACCGGAGGCGAGGCACCTCCCCCTCCTCCTCTCAATCCCCTGTGCCACCCCACAGTCGGGTGCGGGTGGCGTGCATCGTCTGATCGCATGGGTTGTTGTCGGCGTGTGTGCATGTGTACGTCTTGTGTGTGTCGTGTGTGTCGTGTGTGTCGTGTGTGTCGTGTGTGTCGTGTGTGTCGTGTGTGTCGTGTGTACGGGGGTACGCTGCGCAGCTGTTCGATCGGATCGTGGAGAAGGGTTCGTACAGCGAGGACGACGCCAAGACGCTCGTGCGGCAGATTTTGCAGGGCGTGGGCTACCTCCACTCCACCGGCATCGCCCACCGCGACCTCAAGGTACGCTTTACACCCCCATTCACCCCCCCTTTGTTCCTTTCTACCTCCCTCCTACTTCCCCCCCTCCTCAACTGGTGGGGCGTGTGTCGTGTGTCGTGTGTCGTGTGTTGGTGCTGCGCAGCCGGAGAATTTGTTGCTTAAGTCCCGGGAGAGTGACATGGACATCAAGATCGCCGACTTTGGTCTCTCGTCGTTCGTGGATTCGCAAAAGATGATGACCGCCTGCGGCACCCCCGCCTACGTGGGTGCGCATCCCCCGCCCACCCGCACACCCACCCTCCCCACGAGCCCCAAGTGCTCAAGAGCGCGTTCCCCCCCCCCTCCGGTGGTTCGTTCTTTTTCATTCTCTCTTTCGTTCGTTTGTTCGTTCGTTTGTTGTTTTTTTTCTTTTTTGTTTGTTTCAGCTCCGGAGGTGCTCTCGTCGGGTCAGGGCGGGTACGACAAGGAGGTCGACATGTGGTCCGTGGGTGTCATCACCTACATCCTGTACAGCCCCCTCTCCCCCTCTTATCTCGCCTCGCCCGTGCGTGTGCGGCCATCATCGGACACACGCGCACACGCGGTGCTCACATCTCTCCCCCGCGTGGTGCTTGCTGTGGCGTGGTCGCGCAGGCTGTGCGGATTCGCGCCATTCCACGGTGATTCGGTGAAGGAGCTCCTGCGAGTGGTCGTTCGCGCTCAGGTGCGTTGTTGTTGCGTGATGTGTGTTGTGTGTTGTTGTTGCGTGTTGTTGGTTGTTGTTGTTGTTGCGTGTGCTGTGGTGCTTCGATCCAACCCATGCACATGCGCGCGTGTGATATGTTGGTGCACACACAGTTTTCGTTCCCGTCGCCCTACTGGGACCCGATCTCGCCGCAGGCCAAGGACTTTATCAGCAAGCTGCTGGTCAAGGAGCCTTCGGAGCGGCTGAGCGCTTCGCAGGCCGTGCAGCACCCGTGGCTCAAGTCGGCGGGCTCCCGCATCAGCCTGCCCTCGTTCCGCGACCAGATGCAGAGATACGTCATCTCCCGGAAGCGAGAGTCCCAAGGTACCTATGGCCATAGCCCCCCCCCCCCAATGGTCGATGCGATCGCTAACCGGGTGACCACCGTGCAGAGGCCATGGAAAAGCTGCTCTTCAACCAAAACCAAGGCTGAATATGGCGGCGGCGACGGCGCGCGTGACCACGATCATTGTCATTGCTGCCCCCCCCCCGACCAAAGATCCCTGTTTGACACAGCGCGCGATGAAACTGTTTGTGCACGCTCGTGTTCATGGTGGACCTTTCTTCTACTGTGGGCGCGTGACATCGACCCGAGAGCTAGAGGAGCACCGAGTTCCGACTTCACGGGCTGCGATCGAAATTGCGAGCGACCTTGTTTGTTTGACCAACCCACCGGTCCGCCTACAGGAAGCCCATCAGGTCGGCGTCGGAGGCAGTTGGGCGCGCCTTCGCGAGCACCGGCCCGGTGGTGGCGTTGCTGTTGTTGGGGTGCCGCGGCCCTCGCTTGCGCTCCTCGGCCGGTGCCTCATCGATGCCGCCGCGTCCAGCCATATGGTCCCTCCTCTGCTGGCCAGCACCTCCTCGTGGCTGCGCGCCACGATCCCCCAAGCGCGGACCCGCGGGCCGTCCGGGTAGGGCGGCCTGCAGCGCCAGGGCCGCTGTACCGAGGGAGGGAGGAGGGATGAGCCACCACACACGATGACGCACTACACGCACCACAAAACACACACAACACGACACATGGGTGGCAAAAGAGGGCGTATGGGTACCCATGCGTAGGGGTCCTGTTCGGCGGCGAGCAGCGGAAGGAAGAGGGGCCGGCACGTCGGAGGAGGAGGAGGGATTGACCGAGGCCGACACGTCGTCGTGGTGGTGGTGGTGGGCTGTGTGTTGGTCCTCCTCTGCCGCCGCCGCCGCTCGCCCGCTCGTTCGCGCCCTCTTCCCTCGCGTCTCCTCCTCGGCCGGCACCGACGCCCTAGCGCTGCCGCTGCCGCTGCTGGACGACTCGCCCTCGTTGTCGCCGCCGCCTCGCTTCTTGTGGCGCTGGTGCAGCTCTCTGGCGGGTCCGTCGTTGCCTGCGTTGGTGGTGCCCGCGCTGCTCCCCTCCTCCTTCTGCTCCCCTTCCTCCTCCTCCTGGTGGTGGTGGTGGTGGTGGTGGTGCCTCCTTGACCGCTTCTTGTCCCTCTCGCTCGTTCTGCCTTCGCCTCCTCCGCCGCCGCCGCCGCTGCCGCCTGCCGCCTCCCCGCGGGACCGCTTGCGCGACGTCGACCCCACAGACGGCGGCGAGGATCCGGAGGGCCGCTGGTCACCGGTGGCGTGGCTCGGCCGCTGCTGCTGCTGGTGGTGGTCGCGCCGCTCGGCCGTCAGCGCCACGTCGGACCGCGACGACGACGAGGAGGAGTGGCCACTTCGCTCGGGCCTGCTGTCCCGCTCTCTCCGGCTGTCTTTCCTGGCCCTCCTGTGCGCCTCCGCCTCCTCCCGCCTTCTCGCGTCCTCACGCTCGCGCTCGCGCTCTAATTCGCGTTGCCGCTCGCGCTCCTTTTCGCGCTCTTCCTTCTCGCGCCTCTCCCGCTTTCGGGCCTCGTGTCGCTCCCGCTCCTCCTTTTGGCGTTGCCGCTCCCGCTCCTTTTCGCGCTCCTCCTTCTCGCGCCTCTCGCGCTCCTGCCGCTCCCGCTCCTTTTTTTGGCGCTCCCGTTCGCGCTCCCGCTCCTCCTTCTCGCGCCTCTCCCGCTCTCTTTCGCGCTCCCTCTCGCGCTCCCTCTCACGCTCGCGCTCCTTTTGGCGTTCCCGTTCGCGTTCCCTTTCGCGCTCCCTCTCCTCGCGCTCCCTCTGCCGGGCCTTCTCGCGCTCCTTCTCGCGCTCTCGTTCCCGTTCGCGCTCCCGCTCCTTCTCGCGCGTGCGCTCCTCCCGCTCCCTCTCCAGATGGCGCTGACGCTCCCGCTCAGCCGCGTCGCCGCCCTCGCCCTCCTCCCGGCTCCGCTCCGCCGATCTCCGGCCCCGCGGGGCCGGGCTGCGGCTCCTTCTTCCGCTTCTGCTGCTTCGCTCGCCCGATGGGCTGCGGCTCCTGCCCCTCCTGCGCGCCCCCCGCCCCCGCGACCGGCAGCCGTTGTTGGTTGGTTGGTTGGTTGGTTGGTTGGTTGGTTGGTTGGTTGGTTGGTTGGTTGGTTGGTTGGTTGGTTGGCTGCTGGTCCCATTAGCCCCCACTCTTCCCGCACTTGTGATTAGCCCCCCCCCCCCACCACCACCAGCAGCCACCGACCACAATGGTGGTGGTGATTGCTGGGGAACGCGAGGGAGAGCCAATGGCGGGTAGTGGTGGTGGATGGCGGGTGTGATTGGCTGGTGGTACGCACCTATCCTCCGATCGGTAGGGGCGCTCGGATGGGTACCTCCCGCTGCCGCCGCGGTAGCCGAAGGGCTGCCCCGTCATCTGCAAAACGCCCACTTCTGGTGAGCCACACCCGAACCACCCACACCCACACCCACACCCACACCACCCACACAACTCGGAGGCTTGCCAGCAGCAGCAGCAGCAGCAGCAGCAGACATGTGTTGATCACTCGGGAGGGGGTAGTGGGGGGGGGAGCTGGTGGGCATACGGGGTCGATGCTGGGCATGGGGCAGCTGCGTGCGATGTGGCCTCCCCCTCCGCACTTGTAACAGACTCGCTCGTTCTACCGCGCGAGTGTTGGCAAGATTTCGGAACATGTGGTTTACACATGAGTGTCGTGTGTGTCGTGTGTGCCGTGGTGTGGTCAGTGGTGGCTGCTCATACCCAATAGGGGGCGGATCCCGGGTAGCCGCCCATCATGGGGTCGCCGGGGAAGGGCGCGCCGAAGGCCCCCATGCCCATGTACGCCGCCATATCCCGCCTGCCGCACGCGCACACAACCGCATGTGAGAGATTGGCCGCAGACCACCGAAGTCGCCCTCGTACAGGCCGCACACACACAAAGAGGGAGAGAGAGAGAGCGGGGCGCACCCCATGAAGCCCGGCATGCCGTAGGGATCGTAGGCGGGAATAGGCAGCATGCCCGGACCCTGCTCCCCACCATCACCGCCGCCGCCGCCGCGATCACACCCATCCAGTCGTCCATCCATCCGACGCGTCAGTGTACCGGCGCGGCCGCGGCGCATGTGCACATGAGGTGGGGAGGAGCTGAGGATCAGGTCGGGCTGGCCACGTACCGAGATTCCGAGGATGGGGGGCGGGCGGAGAGGCACGTGGGGCGGGGGCGGCGGGTAGGCCCCTCCCCGTGGTGGCGCCTCGTCGTCGTCCCTGCTCCTGCTGCCGCCGCCGCCGCCGCGATCTTCAGAGGCGGTCCGCGCCTGCTCCCGTAGGTGGTCTTCCGCCGGCCGCGCCTCCTGCCCACTCTCCGAGTCCGTTCGATGGCGCGACGTGGTGGTGGCCACCGCGTCGTCGTCGTCGTCGTCGTCACGCGGCGTGCCACCACCGCCGCCGCCATGCTGCTGTCCCGGCTGGTGGTGGATGCCTGCGCCCCTCCCCCCGGTGGCGTGGTGGCACGGCGTGTTTGCAGATCAGAACAAACACCCGGGGGGGGGGCTGCGATGAGCAGAGCCGCGGTCGCGGGCCAGGGTGGAGGAGGGGGCGTGTACCGCCATCAGCTGCGCTCTCACCGACGGCAGCAGCGGTCATGGTCGTGGGCGTCGAAGCGGTGGTGGGCGTGGGCTCCTCCGTCCCAGCCGCCTCCTCGGCGGGCTCCTTCTTGACTGCACACACGTGCGGCACGGCCGTGTGAGAAGCGGGGGGGGGAAGCGAAAAGTAGAGGAAGCAATTAAAACGCGCGCGCGAGCAATGTTGGAGTGGGGGCTGTGACGGTACCAGGCTCGCCCAGTGCCGGAGGAGAAGGAGGAGGCGGGGCCGGCTCGTCGCGGGGCAGGCTCTGTACGGTGAGGAGCTGCTCCTCGGTGACGCCTTTTTCCCGCAGGGTCCTCTTGAAGCTGTCCACCGTCTCCCTCAGTTTCTGCTCCCGAGGCCACGGGGAGGTGTCGCCGGGTTGGTTGTGGTGTCGTCGGTTGTGGGTTGGGTGGGTTGGGTGGGTTGCGATTGATGGCGTGGTCGCGGTGGGCATCATCAGCCGCCACAACACCCAGTGGTTGGGGCGATTTCGGGGGGGGGGTACCGACCTTGTTGGGGAGAAGGCGGTCGGGGGATACCCCCGACTCGGCGCACGACGGGACGGGGCAGCGGAGGTCGTTGTCAATGAGGGCCTGCCGGATGCCTGGATCCACGTGATACACCGCCGCCGCCCCCCCAAACCAATGGTACAACCAACAAAAGGGTTCAGGTCTCGCCTTCTCGCCCCACCATCAGCCACCACCGAGCTGCCAGCCGCCGCCACCACCACCGAGCCACTGTGCCGCCGGCTCACGCTCGTGGTTGGCCGGCAGGCAGTGGTGGTATAAGCGGGGGTGGGGTCGTACAGTGGTCGCAGAAGCTGTTGCCGCAGCACGGGATGAGCACGGCGTCCTTGAGCAGGCGACGACACATGGCACACTGCAGCTCGCTGGGCACCACGTCGTCGCCTGAGCCCAGCACAAGCCCCGGCCGCCCAAGAACGCTCGTGGCCTTGTCGAATGCCTCCCTGCTCCCCCCCCCCCGACACGCACATGCCACACACACACACACACACACATTGGGTGAGTTGAGCACCACCACGTGGCGCGCAAACAATCGACCAATCACGTGATCGCAGGGTGAGCGTGTGCGTGCGTAGTCCGGGCTTGCGCAACGTTGGTGGGCGACGGAGGTGGATTGAGAGGGCGGGGGGGAGGGGAGGCGCACTCGTTGGGCTGCATGACGGCGAATCCGCCGCCGGGGAGCATGAGGCTGCCCTTGGCGCTGCCCGCGGTGACGGGCTTGAGCATGCTGCGGGGAATGCCCGTGGGCTTCTTCACCTTGTGGAAGTCATACCGGGGATCCCCGTTCGTGGGGCACAGGTGGATGAAGTGCCCTACACGCACATCACCGCACACGCACAACACCGGTGCACGCCAACGTAATAATGTGTACATGTACGGGAGGGGAGGTCTTCATGTCAGGGGCGGCGAGGCGGTGGTTGGGGGGGGGTAGCTGGCGGCAGGGGATGATGCGCACCTGGCTCGTTGCAGCGGTGGCACGTGTATCCGGGAGGCGGCAGACGGTTGTCCGTGGGGCCGCCGACGAATCCGCCGCCGCCCTTGCTGCCGCCGCTGTTGGCGGTGTAGCGTGGACGCGGACCTCGCGACCTGGCGATGACGACGACGATGGCGACAACAGTGAGTGAGTGAGTGAGTGAGTGAGTGAGTGATGGAGGCGAGAGTGGCAAAAGAGGTGAGGGCGAGTGAGGGCGCGCGCACTTGAGGTCGTCGTGCCAGCCGCCGGCGCCCTGCACGAGGGCCATGATCTTTTCGTTCTCGTCCATTTCGGCCGAAGGAGGCTCATCGGACGGCACCAGCGTCGTCGGCGTTTGCGGCTCATACAAGCCCGGGATGGCCGCGGCGCTACTGCTGCTGCTGCGACCACTACTGCTAGTAGTAGTAGCCGTGGGCGCCATCAGCACGAGGAGAAGCGGGTGGCAGGATGGCCACGAAGACTGGGAGTGATACAACGAGTTGGGGTACGCACGGTGGAGGGGCGGCGACGAGGGCGTGGAGGCGGGAGCCAGTTGCCGGAACACGACACACGATCACCGAGGTGTTCTTGGGCACCAGCGAGCTGTCGTCCTTGTAATCTGCGGATTTAATTTATCAATTTTTGTGTAAAAAAAGATGTAAAAAACCAAACAAAATCGCTCAACAGGCGTACCTCCGTTGGTTTGTGCATTCGTGATCTGGAGGTCGAAGTTTTCAATACTTTTGCCCAACTTCTTCTGCTCCACGATGGCCCGTTTCAAGTCGCCGACTGAAATGTAGGAGCCATCGAAATTGATCGTGGAGAAGTCCTTGGCGGACTTGAATTTGTAGTGGACGCTCATTCCATGGGGCTCCTCCGAATCAATCGCTTTGCCCCAAGGGAGGAAAAACAAAAGGAAAAAAGGAAAAGGAAAATATTTCACAAGGAATGTACTTTGGAGAAATGTAACTGTTGTATGGGTAAGCGTGCACACGTCGATGATCACCACTAGACGCTACAGTAGTTGCGAATTAGGAGGCTTCCGACGTGACGACGCTGGAAAGGTCGACGGTGGGGAGGAGGTCTGCAATTTCCTTCTCCGTGAGCGAGTGGAACTCGATGTGGCCGGCCGCAGCCCTTCTCAGTACCGAGAACTCGACTGCCGGAGAGAGAGAGAGAGAGAGATAAAGGAGGAGAGGGGGTGTTGATTAGACTGGCCATCTCTGCAGAGAGCAGAAGAGGGAGTACGCACGTTTATCGGGAGACAGAGCAGTGCTGTCCATTGTCTTGGAGAGAACCTTGACGGCAAGCTTGAGGGCCTCCTGTACAGAGAACTCGTCCGAGTAGTCTTGCTTGAGGAGAGAAGTGGCAGCCTGATTGTTTGCACCAATCGCCGTTGCCTTCCAGCCACCGTAGTTGCCTTAAAAAAAAAAAAAAGGAACCGCGAGTGTTACTTGAGGGGCCACAGCAGCTAGATGATGATGACCAGCAGCACGGGAGGGAAGGAAGGGGATACCGCTGGGATCGCTCTGGTAGAGCTGGAAGCCATAGTGCTTATCCCACCCGGCCCACAAAAACGACACACCAAAGGGCCGCAGGCCTGAGATCACGGGAGGAGGTCAGGCGCAAGTCCTCCGCTCATCCACCACGACACGGCAGAGGCTGCATACATACCTCCGTATTGTGTGTAGCCTTGCTTGGTGTCGCAGACCTGCTGCACCAGTTGCTCCACTGGAACGGGCTCCTGGTACGCGAACAAATACCTGTTGGCGCACAGCAGAGAAAAAGCTGTCAGCTTTGGCCTGTTGTGTTCTCGCACGCACACTGTGACAGGCGCCATTCATGGCACAGCAGCCTAAAAGCAGCGAAGAAGGAAACTGTACCGCTGAGCAGCAAGGCGTGAGAAGTTGAGGAGGATGTTGGCGTCGGCAGTGATACCAGCCACGGCACAAGCGATGTGGTCATCAATTCGGTACATCTTCTCACTTCGTTTGCCTTTCAATGGCCCAGAGATGCATCGTCAGCCCATGCCCACACGCGCGCCGAGGAGATAGTGGGGTACCAGGCTCCAGCAGCTTGGAGGCGATCTTCTTTTCGCAGGCAAGCACCACTCCATCCTTGCCCAGAATGCCCACGGCGGCACCAGCATGGCTGATGGCCTCCATGGCATACTCGACCTGGTAGAGACGCCCTACGATCACACAGAAAATTAACGAACGAAGGTACGCTGGGTGCGCCTTCGCTGCTCTAGCGCTGGTACCTTCGGGCGAAAAGATCGTGGTTCTAGCATCGTAGCGTCTGGCCATCTTCTTTTGCTTCTTTTGGCCGCGATTGTTCTCTTCTGTCTTTTTGTGATGGTTCTCGCCAACAAATCTACCGCCAAGCCCCCAATCTGCCACACGCCGCGATGAGCTGGGACACAACCTCCACAAATCGTGCTCCTTTGCCAGTTCAAAAGGAAAAGCAAGGCACAGAGAAAACACCAGGCAAAGAGGGTTTTTCTCTGGCCAGCGCCACACAAACGAGCTCACGTTGTTTGGGGCAGGGGGCGGCCCTACAAGATCGCATGCGGTACTTTATCATCTGCGATGACTCGGGCAACCCCATCTACTACGACCACCCAGAGGGCATGATGGCGTGCCTGATCTTCAACGGGCTGGACCAGTTCCTCACTGAGCGGGACGAACACTTCTCGCAGAAGTTCAAATCGATGTGGTGTGGTGGCGTTCTTTTCGTTGCCCAAAAGGTGCGTGCTCTACTCCTGCCACGGCTTCCATGCCGGCACACCCCGTTCCGGAGTGCACTCTCTGTTGGCCATTTTTATACTTTTTATTTCTTTTTTCTATAATGATTTTTAATATTATAATCTTCACAAACGTGTGCGGTGGTGCCGCCGCAGTACAAGAACCTGTCCTTCCTGGTGGTGTCGGACCAGGGCGAGTCCGAAATGTACCTCCGCACGCTGCTCCGCCAGATGTACGCCGCCCGCTGCCCGCTGCCCGCTGCCTGCTGGCTGCTGCTGCTGCTGCGCGGTTGCAGCACAGTTGCAGCACGGCCCACGCTGCGTGTCCTGGCTCTCGTCTCATCATCTGGCGGCGGCGGCGGCGGCGGCGGGGGTGCACAGCTTCGAGCACATGGTGATGCTGTTCGGGCTGCAGGTGATGCTCGAAGGCAAATACACGTCCTTCACGCGGCACAAGAAGACCATCCAGCACATCATCGACACCACCTGCACCCTCGGCGATCGACACCAGGCCCTCCTCGTGCGCGTGCGTGCTCCCCTCCCTTCCCCCTCCCTGCAACCACCACCTCCTCAAACAACAACAACAACAACAACAACAACAACAACAACACCAACAACAACAACAACAACAACAACAACAACAACAACAACAACAACAACAACAACAACAACATATGCTGCTTGGGGGTGCTTGCGCAGGCGACGGAGCGATTGGAGGTGAACGACCGCACGCGGGGCGAGTGCTTCAACGCCCTCAAGAACACCGTGCAGAACGAAAAGCTCATCACCCACGCCCTCGTGTTCGTGGGCACCAAGCTACTCGTCTCCTACTCGCGAGGTATATACCCCCAACCTCCCCGACCTCCCCGACCCTTCCCATTTCTCTCCCTTCTCCCGTCCCAATGGAACACACCCGTGGTGGCTGGTGGCGGCGGCGGTGGTGGTTGTGGCGGTGGCTGGTAGCAACGGCGTTGGGCTTCTGTCCGCTCACTCCTCAACGTATCCCCCCTCCCTCCCCAATGTGCGTGTGCGTGAGTGCGTGCAGGCGGCAAGTCGCAGGACATCGATCCGAGCGACCTGCTGTTGCTCATCAACGACTTCCACGCCACCTTCCACCCGCCCAGTACTCCTTCCCTCCTCCCTACGCGTGTGCACCACTAGCCACCAGCCACCACCACCACCCACCACCACCACCCGGTGGTCCTCTTCCGCATGCTGCTGCTTGCTCACGTGCTGGCCCGTGATGTGTGTGTGTGTACGCGCTGCTCTCTTTTTGTGGCACAAACGCAGATCGGGAGGTGGAGGAGATGGAGCTGCCCATCGCCGACTACCGCGACCACTCCAACATCACCATCCGTGGCGCACAGATCCCGCGCGGCGTCGACGGACAGGTGGACGCACCCTCGGAGCCTCCCGCCGCAGACTACGACGACGATAAAGCAGCAGCAGCAGCAGCAGCAGCAGCAAGCCAGACGGATGCCCATTCTGCACCCACACGGTACCTCATCCCTCCCTCCTCCCCCTCTCCCCACGCGCACGCGAGATGATGTCGCCTGCGGTGGCGGTGCGTGTGAGATGCCGCCCTGGCCTGCTCGTGGCACTCGCCTCACCGTTCTCACCCCCAATCTTGTGTGTCGTGTGTCGTGTGTCGTGTGTCGTGTGTCGTGTGTCGTGTGTCGTGTGTCGTGTGTCGTGTGTCGTGTGTCGTGTGTCGTGTGTGTGGTGTGTGTGTGTGTGTGCCAACAAACCACCATGTGCAGAGCGGAGGGGAGGGCAGAGACGGACCACGCGGAGGTTGAGGACGAGGGCGGGCGGATGGACCACCACCACCACCAGCAGCAAGCCGGCGAGGCCCCACAGGGAACGGAAAACGGAAAGGAAATCTACGGGCTCGACCAATCCGCCGCCGCCACCCCGGAGGCACGCCCGGCCGGGGAGGAGGAGGAGAAGAATGAGGAGAAGGCGGCGGCGGAGGCCGTGGAAGAGAAGGAGGAGGAGCTGAAGGCGGAGGTACCCGTTCCCGGTCGCCGCGATGGCGATGGATCACTGCCGTCGGCGTCGCCGCCGCCGCCGCATGCAGGCGATGGTTTTGGCGATATCGAGACCGCGGTCGCGCGAGAGGAGGCCGGCACAAGGGCGGCTTGCGATGGGGCGGCGGCGGCGGCTCACACGGAGGACCCGCGGAATGCAGTGCGTCACGACGCGGGGTCCACCAGTGTCCCGTCCGACCCCTCGCAGCTGCTTGCGCAAGACCACCACCACCACCACTACCACTACCACTACCACCACCACCAGCAGCAGCCCGGGGCGTCGCCACCATCGACGCCGACGCCGTCCCTCGGAGCAGCAGCAGCAGCAGGAGGAGGACGGGGGATGAACGAAGAAGCGGCCGGGGAACCTGCCCGATCGCCATCGCCGGTACTAGTGCAGGAGAAGGCCCTCCACGACGACCACGACGACCACGACCACCACCACCACCAGCAGCAGCACGAGGCCGACGAGCCGCCCCACGCGCACACACGCGATGAGAAGGCCTCGGAGACCACGACCGCCGCCGCCGCCGCCGCCGCCGAGGAGGAGGAGGGCGGGGGCGCCGACGGGACAAAGGAAGGGCGCGCGAACGAAGAGGTGGCGGAGGCAGAGGAGGAGGGTGACGGAGAGGGGGGAGGAGGAGGAGGAGGAGTTCCTGCTGCGGAACGATGAGGAGTACGACCCCACCAAGCTCACCAAGTACAAGGCCCTCCACCTGCGCACGCCGCGCTACACACCCTTCTGGGTCTACTACGCCGAACTCGGCCGCAAGACTACCCTCGTACCCCCGCCTCCCCCCCCAAATATCTTCTACGCCCCTCTCCCCACCATCCTGGTAATAACACGTGTTGTTGTTGCTGGTGGTGGCTGGTGGCTGGTGCTGGCGGCGGTGGCGGCGGCGGCGGCTGGTGCTGGCGGCGGTGCTGGCTGGTGGTGGCTGCTGGTGGCTGCTGGTGGTGTGCAGGTGGTGCTCACAAGCAACAACCCCCAGACGGGCGCCAAGGGAACCCCTGTACGCATCCCACCCCCCGCGCGACACGACCAACGACACACCGCGATGCGACACGCGCGCGTGCCCTTCCCTCCTTTCGCTGTCTCAGACTAAGCCACCCGATCACCGCCGCCGTATATATTATATTATAATATGTGTGCGTGTGCGTGTGCGTGTGCATGTGCGTGTGCGTGTGCGTAATGAATACACGCAAACAGGAGGAGCGGCAGGAGCTGGATCGGGTGCGGGATACCATGCGCGCGCTGCTGCAGAGCTACTCCACGTACCTCATCACCAAGGAGCACACCCACCTGCCCATCCTCTCGTACCGCCACTACTCCCCTCCTCCTCCTCTCCGCGCGCGCGTGCATGTTGCGCCAGCGTGACCAACCACCACCACCACCACCACCACCACCACCACCACCACCACCACCACCACCACCACACACCCACCACCCACTACCGCGTCCATCACGGCCATCTGGCAGGTTCCTGCACCAATTTCCGGGGCTCGTCCACTTCATATTCGTGGATCGGACATTCAACCGGTACTCCTCCTCCTCCTCCTCCTCCTTGTCCCGCCACTCCGAGTGCTTTCCTCGGCGCCTTGCTTTGCACTCCACCTCGCCCACCCCCCTCCCCTCGGGTCGTGGTGGTGATGCGTGAGGTGGTGCGTGGCTGATGGTGCGTGGCCGGCTGGTGGTACGGTGGTGGTGGTGGTGGGGGGCTACCGACGGACAGGGTGATCGCGCCTTCGATATCGGCTCTCCACGCCATGGACCGTCCTCCCGATGAGGAAGAGGTGCGTGCGCCACCTGAGCCCAGCCCTGCCCAGCCCCGCGAGAGCAGCAGCAGCCTCGCGACGCTGGCGGCTGGTGGCGGCGGTAGAGGGGGGCAGACGAGAAATCTCACACGCGCAACTGTGGGATGTCCCTCCTTCCGGGAAAAATCGGGGCGGGGGCGGGGGGCCAGGAGCGTAACATGAAGCGGGTGATCAAGCGGCTCGTGTGGGACATGTGCTACGACAGCCAGCAGCACCTGTCCGAGGGCGCCCAATCGGTGCTCGTCAAGAGCGGACCCTGGCAGTACTCCTACCGCCTCTGGGTCGAAGACGTCGACGGGTTCCTCCTCCTCCTCCTCCTCCTCCCCCCCCCGCACCCCCAACCCCCAACCCCCAACCCCCAACCCCCAAC